CCCCACAATATCCCCCATCTTTCTCTTTGCGAAAATGCTATCAGTAACAGACAGTTTTAAAAATATTATCTCCACCACTACTGCCAGTGCCACAAAAGCATTAGCAAAAACAACAAAAACAGCATATTTTTTCTTCTCCTGATTTTTCTTTCAACTGGAAAGAGAAATAAGACTGAAAAAGTTAGTCTGTTTTAGTTTTAGGCAGAACGCAAACATCCTTGAACTGGAAGTCGGTTGACTTTTCTTTACATAACTGACATCTTTATATTTGAAAGCTTGCCGTCTGCAGAGGCCTCTCTGTGTGAAGGTATTTACTGTTCTCTTTCTCCTCTCGGTTACGTGAATCGAGGGAACCACTCCCCCCTAATATGGTGGGTGTGTCTGGCCCGGTTCCCGGATGTAGGGTGTGGCAAGGTCGCAATATGGCGGATTGCACTTCTAGTCAACAAGGCAGGGGCGATGAGAAGAGTATGAAGTCTTCCACTAAAACTCGAAGAAGTCCTAGGATTCAGAAAAATGGAAAACATGTCGAGAATGGTAAATGATGCATGCACTATGAGGCATTTACAATTTTTTGCCCTGTCTGCTACACAGTGCAGAAGTAAACCCCGTGTGAAATGAATCGCAGAAGTCGTAATGTGACCCTGATTCAATGTTTACTTCCTATCGCCAGCCAGCAGTCGCCTACTCTCAATGCAGTTTTCAGAAACCTGCACCCTGCATGAACCCCCCTCACTGCTTCGCACGCTCGCATTTATTCTTTGAAATTTTGCTCTGTTGCAACATTGACAAATATGAAAGCAGATCATAACGGGAAGGGTCGACTGTCACGATTTCCCGCTGCATAATGATCGATGAAGGATTGAAGGTTCTAATCTCTGTGGGCTTGGCCTGTGTGGCCGATTGTTGTGTGTTACACATTTCACGGGTGGCTGGGTTGCTTGTCAGGGCCAGTGGCCCATATTCAGGGCTGCCTAGTCAAAACACAAGGCTGGCATGGGTACTGAGGAAGAAAATTGGGTACTTGAGAACTCAGTATAGGTGGCAGTGAACTCCATGAAAGGAAAATCTTAGCACTGGTGTTAAAAAAAAGAAGCGCAATGTATTTTAAGTGATAAAACAGAGTGATCTGAGTTGGGTGTGTGTGTGTATCTGTATGTGTGTATGTTTGTTGGGTGTGTGTGTACGTGTGAGTATGTGTGTTTTATTTGTATCTCCTATTGTTTTGAACTTAGATATAGTGTGTTGCTTTAACAATCAGGAAAGACGGTCAAATTTAAATATTTTCAGGTGTAAGCTATAGAGATAAAAGAGGAAGGTTTTTAACTTTTTTGTTTTTGATTTCAATTATGATTGTGAAAACACACCCTCTTCCCACCCTTCCTCAGCTTTGAAAACCCCCCAGAAGCAAATAGATCTAAATCTAGTTGTTTTTTTTTAAAGCTCGTAGGCGACATTGACAAAGATGTGAAAATGCGGCTTCATCATAAATAAACTCCCATCCTGTGTGCAGCAAAAGGAAGTGATCACACCTTATGTTTAGGTGCACTTGAGAGAGGTTCAAGATTCTTTTTTTGTGTGAATTGTTTTTAAAAAAAATTATCTCATAGTTCTGGATGAGAAAATTTTGTTTTCAGTAGAAGGTTACTGTAGTTTATAACACATCATGTACAAATAACACATCATGTACAAATAACACATCATGTACAAATAACACATCATGTACAAATAACACATCATGTACAAATAACCT